TTGTCGAATGATCTCTGTTTCATGATCTCAATAGGGGTGTAAAGCATCTCTAGGTCTTTTTTAAAAAAATATTCTGTTTCAGAAAGTTTCATCATGTTTGTCACATTTCCCGCTACTCTTTATCATTTCAAAGAAAAAAGTTATATTTTTACCTTTTCAATACTAACGAAGGAACGTACGAGTAAAAAGACCGGCTGTTTTCTCTCTCCTTCACCCCCTTTGCTGTTTCCTGCACCTATCACAGTTGATGCCAAGAGAATAGTTATTTCTTTCTTTTAAAGAATTTAGTACCCTTGTTTATTTTTTAATCTAATTGCTTTATGCCGTTTTTCCCGCTTCCTTCCACCTCCACCTCCCGATCTCTCCCCTCCGCCCGCAATAAACAGAATGAGATACCTTCTTTTTTTTTTTTACAAACAGTCGAGGCTGTCCAAGATGACAACCCATTGTCGAGGAGAAAAGTGATAATCTTAAACAAGTGGTCCTTCTGGACAGTGTCATTATGATCAACGTGGGAAGTTATTGTTTGTTCAAGTGATTGTCTTGGACAGGTGGTCGTTAGGAAGGGTTGGAATGTAGTTAAATTCTCAAACTCCACTTGTTCGCTTTTATCTGACCGCGGTTAAAACAAAATACATCATGTAAAATGAAATCGCTCTGTTCAATCTTCTCGGATCTTTGCTTACGGGTCTAAAAGTTGGATGTCCAACAGAATCTTAAAACTCTTTCCATAAAGGATACTGCAAATAAGGTTCCGACATGTTCCCTTTGATGTAAGCCTAAAGCGGGGCAACAACAAAAAAGTGGCAGGATAATAATCTACAGCATACACTTTAGAGATTCAAAAATTGACTCCGCACATTGTAACGGTCGCCTAAGAAACACGATTCAGGAGATGGGGTGAGTAATTTTCGAGACGCGTGGAGACGTCTAGAGACCAGAGTGTCGTGACAGCCGTGATCCCAATCCCCTGTTATGCGTCCAAAGAGAGGTTTTTCATATATGGCCCAAAGAGAAAACAAACATTTTTAAACCGGATCAAGAAATGTTTTTGTTTGGTCGCTGACCTGCAAAAGTGGCATGCAAAGTTTCGTGGGCATAGTAATCTATTTAGATCACACCCCCCCCCCCCCCCCCCCCCAATGTAATAAATGAGCTAGAATTTTTTTTAACGCGGACAGACGAAATATTTGAAATCAGCGATCCAAATTCTACAGGCTCACCAAGCAGAATTTGAGTTTGTGAAGTATTTTTTTTAATCCGTTATAAATAGGGGAGTTTTTTTACCCACAGGTTGTAGTTGAGTTTAGAAGTGTGCCCCATGTGTTGTGTGTGCGTGCATGTGCGTGTATGTTCAAGAAACTCAGTTGTTCACATGTTTTGTTAAAATTTTAGCGTGAACAGTGCTTTGGCTTCCGCTGTATGCAAACGGTCTCCCGTATGGGGACGCACAGGACAAATCCCGATTTAGGGATCCTTGTCAATCCGTAGCGATAGGTACATGTACAAGAATACCCCTACAAAGTTCCACTAAACGCACACAGACAAAACCTGCTATCGGTCAAGATCGCTACGCATAGAGCCGCAACCATATTATTAACGCCCGACATGGATGGTCAGACCAGACCGTCTTCGGGCATAAAAGAATGCTCACTGGCTCTTTAGTAATGGAAGGTAACAAAAACGGTCTCGGCTACCATACTGACGCCCGACGTCCTGAGTCGTCCCCGGTCAGACCGTCTCCGATAAAGCATGTTCTATCGAAGACGGGCCGTCGGGCGAGATGTGAGGTAATTTTGATTATGTTATCTCTGCATAGTTGTGTCCCCTTTCCCGCTTCAATTTCAATGACACAACACAGAATTTTGGCAGTTCTTGTCAGCTCTGCATATTATATCTCTAGCAGTTCATTGAAACTAACGAAACTGCTATGTTTCATGCGAAAGTATTGTTGGAAATTTCACTGTCTTCCAACAACTGCGGAAACAAATGATGAAATTCACCTAGTGTATCAAGCTTTCTTTGGATGGGATGCACGGAAAATCTTGTCTTGGTTTTCATTTTTTGTCTACGTCTCAAAGGCAACGACAATTATTTTCTTCTACCACATGCCATATTTGCAAGACGGCGGTGTCTGACCGCCAAAATATTGTCGGCCACACCCGACGGAAAACGGCGGGTCTGGTCTGACTGTCGGTGTCTGGCGCTAATATGGTTCTACCATAGGGCGCACCTAATTTGTAGTTGTAGGTACAATGTATTGAGAAATAATTTCTATCGTCCCGAATCTCCGTTGCGGGGGACACATCACGCACCATCGCTCAGCGCTCACCGCTTTGTGTCATGTGACGTCATGTGGCTGGACTAGGGAAAGTTTTAAATGACCATAGCAAAGCAGGTGTCCATCGTAGAATAAAATCTAACAACATTTTTTAAACCAGCATCCTTCAATAAAGGGTAGATCCGAGCAGAAATTTTTATTTCTCAATGGTATAGAAAATAATTAAGTTTGCTATTTCTATAGAAAAAGCATCAGTGTGTTGTTTGGTGCTAATATCTTTACTTTTAGTGTCATGTTGTGACCGACTGTCGTTTTTCCAACATACTTTCTTCAAAAATTAAAGAAGAAACGAATTGGCACGCACAAAAATGTATCTTTTATCCCTAGGTAGGGGGAGCACAGAACAAAACTTGACAAGTATACTTAAAATAAGTACGTGTAGCAAGGAACCTATCTCATCTTGGGGGCACAGAAATGATCCCAAAAAGTAAAGCCCAACTTGTCAAATCTAGATCTTGTTCAGAGGAACAGCCTACACGGGCGGAAAATATGTGTCCTTTAGATTAAAAAAATTAACGTACGTGTGAGTGTGAGGACGCTGTGGACACGGGCTACCCGCTACGTTAACGTACGTAATTTGTGATGAAGCGAGAGTGCTGACGCTGTGGACACGGGCTACCCGCTACGTTAACGTACGTAATTTGTGATGAAGCGAGAGTGCTGACGCTGTGGACCGCGGCTCTATCACAACAAAATTTTCTTCTGCTGATATTGGTTCCCGATAATTACAACCAATTGGTTGTAGACGAGGAAGCACTAGGTTCTTCAGGTCATCATACATTCTGTATGACATTCTTAGGTAGTTGAAGAACAATGTCTCATCTCTACGTCTCATCAAGGAGCTGAAAGTTCGATGAAACTCCTCTACTAGATCTACTCCTCAATAGAAAATGTTCTCTGCACCACATGATCCGCTTTTTCCTCTTCTTTTTCCGATTATTTAGAATTGCTAACATGATCAGAATATCTTCATCAGACGAATCCATGGTTGTGATGTGTTGCGTTGTGATGTCGTGCTATGGCCTATGGAGGGAGGGGTATTAGCCTGTGGCACGGCACGTGCCGACAAGTCATGTGCCGCGTGCCGTGTGCCGTCTACGGAGGGTCTGTCGTATGTTCTACCCTCGTAAAGATCGGTGCCGAGCGAATAATAATGTCACCGACGCCGAAACATATTCGGTAGCCTCTCTGTCCTTGCCCGTACAACAAGGCAAGGCCTCTGATCATTTCGGGCGGTAAGTCTATAATATCTAGATCTAGTGTTGCTATAATTTATTTATTTTAGCCCAGAGAGAGAGAGTAATGAATAAACGTATCTAGATCTAGATGTTGTGCACCCAGCCAAGAGTGTGGAGTTCGGAAAGTAGAGGATCTAGATCTAAAATGGTGGCCTGGTGGGCGAATGACCGAAGAGCGACTCTTGACTAGATCTAGATCTACCTGCCTGTGAATTGGCGGACTACTCTAGGCCTATCTTGCAACTTGATTCATACATGGGGACTAGATCTAGTCGAGTCCAGGGGGCGGTCATTTTGGCAAAATGCTAACGAAAGGCTCATGCTCTTATGTCGAAATTCCTCAAACATTTTCACAAGTGATATTCTTGATTATTTATCTAGCCAAGAATAAGCTATTTTTGTAAAAGTATTTGTATATAAAGAATTGAAATGAAACATCACATTGTGTTTGTTAACACAGGCGCCTAAACTTATACAATGCCTACATTTTTTTTTTTATTTCATTGTGAAATCAAAATAAAACAAAGTGATACACATGTAGAATGCAGGTCACTGGGAAGGTTAACTGGGGTAAGCTGTTATATCCATGGATTCTTGAATGCATTAGGTTATAATTGGTACATCAAAGAATGAACAACAATAAAACGAACCTTAACTCGACTCTAACCTATGACTATGAGTATAACACCCCTTCAATAAAATTATAAAGTTGGCCTAATATTAGAGAAAAGCGTAAAATTGAGAGGAAGAAGATGCACGTGTCTTGATGTTACAGTCCACTCATAATATGCTGATTAAATGATCACATTATTCTTCACAAATAGTATCATACGACTTGAAAAAAATGCTGTTTTTGCAGCTATTGTAGCTAATGTTCTGAGCCCCAATTAAGTTGCTGCTGGGATGGCATTTCTCTGTCAAGTAAATGTGTTTCTGCCTGAGCTCATGGCCACATTCCTTTTCATAGCAGGTTTGACAGTTGATTATCTCCACAGCGAGCTGTTCCCCAATGTCTTCTCCAGAGCGAGCTGTTCCCCAATGTCTGAATCCATTCAGACTTGTCACACTCGTTTTGTGGTCGGTCACAACTTTTTACGCTTAAAATGTTGAGTCTAAGTAGTGCGGTAGGGTTCGTATTACTCCATTGTTCACAATTTCTCTAAACACAGGCTTTAGTCTGTTTAAAGACAGATTGGTCTAGATGCAGTATAGGCCTTAAAGAGTTTTTATTAAATACAAGTACGATATATGTTCGATAGGAAATGATCCAATCACACCAGAACACCCGCGAACTGCCATTTTCTGCACACCGTTCTTTTTCCTTACTATCCGAAAGTCACTAAAAGTAGAATATGACAATGCTTGATCGTTAGGAGACGGAGGTCAACGAACAGTAAAGACATACAAACACCATGCAAGGATTTGTTTCCGATTATATTTTTAATGTAACAAAACATGTCCAGTTGAATATAACTGGAGTGGAATATTACAGCTTTAAGATAAAGCTTAAAGTTAAAGGGAATAATAGCTGACGTTGAAGTCAGCTCTGCAGCCATCGCTGACCCACATGGTATTGGCCACAAAACCATAAGTGGTTCCGAGAGTGCAGGGGGCCGCGGACTGTTGCTTGGCCACTTGCATGGAGTAGATGCAGGAGGCGGAGGGGAGAGCCTTGGTGGCGTACTTGTAGTTCCAGCTGCTCACGTTTACCGTAGTTGTGCTGGTGGCGCCTGGAGACCGTAGATGGAAGTATTCAGTTATATGGTTCGAAATGACAGTTCTGAGAACTGTTGGTTTATAGAGTACATGTCCCAGTCGTAAAGAGGAAAGAAAGCAGTGGTAGAGAAAAGTTATGCAATATATATCTGCCCAGGACACATTAGACTATCGTTTATATAATAGTACACGTACCATAATACAAGGTTTGCAGTGAACGGTCGGATGGCCTCACTCAAAACATGTTTTTTTAACCACCTTGCCTGTTTCCGAGCAATATCGTGTCTTTTTAAACTGGATAAAAGTCATTCTATTTGTGAACTTGTGACGTTTAATAGTGCCCTTTAATAGTGTTTAATAAGCACAACTAAAACTCGCCCTTGCTAGACAAGTGCTAATAATATAAGACCATAAATGCAAATCAAATAAATGCAAGTCGAAACTTTACAGCATTTCTTCAGTTCATGCTTTTCGAATTTTAGGGCTTTCGCCTTAACCTCGGTTCCAGAATAAATCTTTCTCGAAATACAAAATGCAGAATACTCGGTTACAAAATATTCAGTTCTTACAGATTGCCCCACATTCCGTGAACGCTGCCCCACATTTCGTGAAAGCGTTTGCTTAACGTCACACACACCTACCTTGGACATAACAGATATTGAAGTCGGCACGGCAACCATGATCCACCCACACTGTGGAGTTCTGATTGTAGAAGCCAAAGGATTTATCCAGATCGCAACTGGCTGCGGACTGCCGATCTTCAACGGTCATGTTGATGAACAATGCGGCCCCCTCTACCTTCTTCTCAGCGTACTTGTAGTTCCAACTTTCCACCCTAAGTACTTGGCACTCCGTGCGCCTCACTGGGGAAGCAAAAGGCAACAAAAAAAATCTATGATATCTCAACTAGGAAACTTTTCGAAACGGCCCTGGAACCTTTGAAGGAATAATATAAAACAGTTCCAGCCTTGTATTTTTATTATCGTTTACCGTTACGAATCTGTCCTTACCCGAGAGATGTGGGTGGGCGTTCTGGTGTGGTTTGCTCCTTTTCCAGTCAAGTTATCGTTTTTTTCTCCTTTTGTTTGTTACTCCTTGTAAGTTACTCCTTGTAACACTTCTAATTCGGCACTTCTGCCGTAAAGCTAAGATCTAGACTCTACTCAAACTTTTACCTGGGAGATGGCAAACTTTGAAGTCAGCACGACAGCCGTGATCCACCCAAAGTGTGGCTTTCTGGTAGCCGAAGGATTCCCCCAGGGTACACGCAGCCGCGGACTGCTGATCTACGACCGTCATGTTGAGGACATACGAAGCATCTTGTACTATCTTCTCGGCGTACTTATAGTTCCAACTTTCCACCCTGATTATATCGCACTCCTCTGGGTCTGCAGGAGAGTTGTAAATGAGGCAAACAATGGAAGAAAAAAAAGGCATTAAATGAAAACATACAATGATCTATTTTTTCAACTGTAAGGTATTCATTATGTGTCACTGAGGAAAAAAAGATCGTGCGAAGAAACAAATAGTCGACGACTTATATTTTGGGTAAGTTCGTTTGAACCAAATTCCAGCTACGTCGCCGTAGTCTTGCTCGTGGCGATCACAGACGCGCCAACAGTGTGAACGTTTGTGCATGACCAGCCTTTCATGTTGTATTACAATATTCTCAGTTCTCAGTAATAAGACTGCATTGTGCTTATTGTGTCCTAGTGGTTAATTAATTGATTGAGTAGGTGTTTTACGGCACTATCGACTCAATTTTGGTCAGTGTTCTAGTGGTACTGCAGAATTGCGTACAATAGTAACACTAACAGTCCTAAACCTACTGCCTCTTAAAATCGGTGTGCTTCCAACCACCTTGTTCTGAACTGCTTTGACAAGTTATGGACAACCCAAACACCAATGGAAATCACCATGTTAAAAGCTTTAATTTTCCAAAACCTACTCACCGTACGCTTGTGTCGCAGCCAGGACCGAGAAGAGGACGAGGACAATAGCGGCGTTCATCTTGTCTTGTCTTGTAGGTACTTAGATATTTATCTGCTAGATTCTAGATCTCTGGTAGTCTAGATCTACTGGAAACTGCTCTCAGTTTATATTCGAAAAGTGGTCTTGCGGTGTCGACACACTTTTTTCCAAGAAAATGGAAAGTGGTATTATTGACGCCATAATTCTCAACGAGTGAAAACTTTCGTTGAAACTGTTTTGTGCCTCTGTTGGCACAGTGTGAATCTCTTTCGAGGCGGGCTGCTTCCACCAAGTTTGTAATCGCCAGTCGAGAATATGTTAGGTACACCCGGCAGGAACACGGGGGCCGAAAGAAAATCTTCAGCATGTTGGAATTGAAGCCCCGCTGTTTAGCGAAGACCCAACCCACCATCCCACATTTGCTGGCTCAGTAAAAGTAAAGGTCGCAGAAAAAGAAAGGAAAAATAGAAGATATCAGAAAACATTATATAGTTGAGTTCGAATCATAAAGTAGAAGCAGGTTGTTTGGAATGGAGATACCATTTAACCTTTGCGTAGTGACTGAACGAATATGGGAGTGGAACACAGGTCTTCTTCGAACGACGACAAAGCACCTAAACGCTACACCACATTCGCAGGTCTCAGTAATACCATTGATTTAACAACTACGTAAACTCGAGACATGAGATAAATATGTTTTAAGCGATTTCTAGTGATTTATACCCGGCACACACCAGATGAAATTTGTTGGAGCTAAAAACGAATTTCATCACCGTAAATCCCTTTTTCTAAAAAGGCCCACGCTATTTGCTGCTCAATGTATCCTTTTCCTATTTTGCACACCGTTTTCCCACGTTCCGCACGTACTGTTTCACTCCAGAGTTCACATTGCGCACCGAAGCGCACGACGTTTTTCACTTGGCCCGTTTATTCTTTCTCTCCAGTTTTTACATGTGTGTGTGTGTGTGTGTGTGTGTGTGTGTGTGTGTGTGTGTGTGTGTGTGCGTGGGTTTTGATTTTCAGTTGCATAGAACGATAATTCCGTACTGTACATGGTTCAGAGAGACTGTTGAGAATTTCTTGGAACAAAAAGAAATCTCATTTTTTAACTTGTTCACTTTCGTCTGTGCACGTTAACGTAAATTCAGGCTCGTTTATTAATTAATTTGAAGTGTCTACGTACTCCCCGATTGGGGTCTACGTAGTCATGGTGTCTAGGTGGACCCCAAAAATGTTGGATTGTGATTGGCTCGCTGAGCGAGCGGTAGTTTACATTGGTTACAATGCAAGGCTACTGATCATCTCGGGCGGTGTGTCGATCTAGTGTTACTATAATTTATTCATTTTAGCCCAGAGAGAGAGAGTATTTCATGAATAGGATGTGCCTATTTGCAACGCCGCGTTGAGATTAGCACCAGTGCTAAAATAAAACGCCGTGTGTAAAATATCAAGCTTAAACTTAATCTGCACTTCGTTATCAGAAGTTCTGGTGGCCGAAGTGACAGCGCGCGCGTCTGCGCTAGAAGTCAAACCATTATTTTTTTTAGCGTGGCTTCAATCCCGGTCCTGGACGATTTTTTTTTCTTTTTTTTTTTTTTTATTGTTGTTGTCCTCTTCTCGACTGACCAACAAATTGTTCCCATAATTATATCTTGTTGCTTTGCAGTTTTTTTGTAATGTAGCGATGAAGCATGCCCTTTCTGGTTTTGTCCCCAAGAGGAGCTCTGTACAAAGTAGGCCTTAGTATAGCCTATACTTTTCCTTTTACCAATTTAGGCCTGGTTAAAGTTCAGTAGTGGCTTTCCTCGGTCTGTGAGTCTAATTTTTTTAAAAATAAAAATTCTAGGCTCAGGAGAAGGAAAAAAAAAACCTTCCTGGACCGGGATTCGATGCCACGCTTGGAAGCACTGAACATTAGACTTAGAGAACGTAGACAGTAGACAGTTTGTATACGTTCTCTAGGCCTAACTTAAAGTTCGAGTTGCACCGTCTTGTTATTGTTATCCAAGCGTCTTTCGACTTAAACTTGCTCAAACTCTAACTCAAATGATTATGATTATGAGAGATGAACAATTAGACGTCTAGATCTACTTTTGTGCAAACAATGTCAGAAACAATTGTTAGATCTAATCTAGATCTAGATCTAGATTCTAGATCTAGATTGTTCTAGATCTAGATCTACCCATGTTGATCGGAATAAGACAACGTCATAAAAAGAAGGAGTCAAATCCTAGGAGGTTTATCAAAAAACCTGGAAAGCTTCCACAATTCAGACAGAACTACAATATTATCATGTAGAAACGATGGCTACTACATCTAGATTCTAGATCTAGATATAGTACTGGCGTTTCAAATAGCACAGGAGGACGGGAGCTATTCAGAACGCGGCGTTGCAAATAGCGCTTGCCTGATGAATAAACGTATTTAGATTCTAGATCTAGATGTAGAATCTAGATCAAGATCTAGGCTAGATCTAGATTTTGTTGTGCACCCAGCCAAGAGTGTGCAGTTCGGAAAGTAGATGATCTAAATCGAGTTGTGGCCTGGTGGGTGAATGACCGAAGCCTACAGCGACTCTTGACTACTCGCCTGTGAACTGGCGGAGACACACTAGGCCTATCATTATCATGCAACTTGATTCACAGGTCTACTATCATAATTATCAACAGTAGGCCTACTTGCTTCTGTAGGCCTGGTCGAGTCTACTAGATCTAGTTTCAAATGGCTTCTTTTTCGGTGCACGGTTTCGGCACTCCTTTGCAGTCCCGTTTGTTTACATGACGGTCATTG